TTTGTTAAAGAATTTAGCAATGTATATTTTGAAGTAAATTCTCACCAAACGGGACTTTCTCATGAGCAGATATTGTGTTTTAATTCCACCGACTCCAAAGAGTGCTGGGTTTCTTTTTGCATGTTTGAACACGGTTTGAGAATCAGTCATCTCAAACTCATTTTGTGAACTCCGCTCTTGGAAATGTAGTTAAAAAGTGCATTTATTTCTGCAATTCAACTTAATGTATGATAAAGGCTCATTACATGCCAAGTAAAATATCCAATGATTATGGCTTACAGTCCCATTTCAAAATATTCAAATGTTTTATTTTGAGATCCAATTACATAACAAATAATAAAGGCTTGCTGAATCTCACTCTATGTCAGTTATCAGCACCACAATGTAAGTTGATTCACCTGTATCAATGTAAATTAACTCATGAACCATAGTATACTTTACCGAGTTTCACCTGAGAGATGTCCCAGCCTATTTTACTTGGGTGGAAGTCAAAGTTATGGTTACATTTCCATTCTGTAATTAGGAGGAGGTCTGAGCCATTGACTTAAACTCAGTTGACAAGAGGAGTCCTGGCCCCTTAAATAGCAATCCTTATAATTCTGACTCATTGACAAAACCATTCATTCTCAGACACACATTATTTTCTATTTAGTTTGATGTATTACCAACTGCTCTTTTTTTTTTTATAAAGATTTTTCTTTTCTTTCTTTTTTTACCATCTGTAAGCCATCTTAAATCTGTATGATCCCTCAAAGAATCACATAGATTTGTTTCACAGGAGCAGAAAAATATTGCATAAAGATCTCAAAGCTAAGGTGAAAGAATGTATACCAGTCTGTTTGAAAAGGACACAACAAAAATAACAATGAAACCAGGAAAAAGCTGAGCCATCTTTGTTGCAGAAACACTGATCTGGAAATGTAACAGCCTCTCTACAGTTTTTTTTAACCGCACCCTAGGATCTTGATGCTCTGATCTAAAAAGCGCTTAAGCAGCTGGATGTGAAGTCTCTTTGAACCGGAGCTAAGTCAGGCCTTGCTCTGCTGCTTTTTGGTGTGGCATGAAATGAACTTTTATTGCTTACTCACGCAGCTGAATGCTGGGCTAGCATCCTCCAAACATGCAAACTGGATTGAGGTTGCTGACTCCCCTCCTCTATCACAGCTGGACATCAGGACATTCTGCTGCTACTGCTGTTAATTAGTAAAAAAGACATGTTCCAGTTTCTCATATCGGTACATTACAAGGTGACTGACTGGACAATAACTGACACTGGACAACTCGCCCACACATACTGTACATATTTAGGATCTGATTTGGCACATAGCTAAATTGTAAGTCCTATAGGTACTCGAAATGCGCTGCTACATATATTTTGGTGTGGTAATATCTATGGTTTTGTCCAATTTTTAAAACCTTTGCTTGACTTTAGTTGGGAAAGCAGATGAATGTCTTCCTCCTCAGACTTGGACTCCGCACTGGTACATTCTGTGACTCATGACCTCAGCAGAACTGGACATGTCTGGATGATGGTCTTTATGAAGAGAAAGACAGAGGTCAGGGAGAGATTTCTGCCCCCTCTGCACTCCCACAGGTTATGATCCTACATTAGTCTTCTCCATCAGGTCTTGGACAGTGCTCTTACACTGTTTGATGTATTATATTTGTATTTAGAAAAGATAAATGTCATTTATGGTGACATCTCAATATAAAACGTTCCTTTTCTGCCCCATCTACTGCCATAATGCTATTTTTCAACATTCCCAGTGTCCTGTTTCCTTCTTTATGGGCTGCACTGGGACCTAACATCTGTCTGTGCAGATGGGCTCAAAACAAACTAAAAACACTATCCTCTACATCCATCTTTGTTTCCGTGGTGCTGATCCTTCTGACTCACCCAAAAGTCATAAATTCTTTCTCAAACTAGAGAAAGAAACGTCGCTTGGCTGCTGTTTTATTTGTATCATCTTGCAAGCACAGATTTGTGTGTCCCTCGCTGCGTGACTCATCCATCTCAAAGTGCCAGACTCTGCACTCCATGTGTCCAGTTGTCCACCCCTTTTCCAATATTAGTCAGCTCATGCCAGAGAGGCCTTGCTTGCAGTAAAAGTAACATATTTTTGAACTATACAGAAATACAATGATTTGCCAAACCACATGTTATTGGGAGTTGGATTGTAAAATGATAAGTTAATTAGATATATATACAAAAAGACCGCTTTATCTCACAACATTAATCTAACTGTTTTTCTCTAATAATTTTGCTGTCATTTGTACCAATCCTTTTTTACTGCAGCCTTCCTTATTATATATTGGGGAAAGAATTGCCTTTAACTGGAGGCATAATTAGGTTCTCTTTGTGCTCTCATAAATTCATCACAATTACAGTTCAATTGTTGTTGCCAGAATGCTGCTGTCTTTGACACATGAAGCTCCTATGCATTCATTACTGATGTAATCCACCTGCTGGTTTTTTTTTAATCTTCTTTCATTCGGACAAAATGTAGTGGTATTGTTGGGAATTGGTTATTAAAACAAATCAAAAAGAATCTTCTGCTTTGCTTGGATAATCTGAAAATCATGTCTATTGTATTTTAGGTAGGAATAACTCCACTTATAACGGCCCATTATGTTCTCTCCATGTGGTTGTATTATCTGGTTACACATAGTAAAGATGTATTGTAGATGTACTTCTGAATGATAGTATCATATATTTAAATATTACATACTGGCTACAGTGGCTCAGTTGGTTGAGCATTGGCCTTTGAGCCTGAAGGTCGTGGGTTCGAGCCCACCATAAGACCTGCTTCACGACTCCCACTGATAACTGCTGTTGTTGTGTCCTTGGGCAAGACACTTAACCCCACTTTTCCTGAAGCTCCCGCTGAAAGATCTCAGCTCCTGTGGACTCACCACCTGCAGGAGGATCAGTGAGGGGCTGGTGCTCTGTGTACTGGGTGCAGCTCTGACTGCCACCCCCGACCCAGACATGGATTAAGGGGAAGAAAATGGATGGATACTGTCTACATTCATACATCTATTACTCTGGACAACAATGTTTCTTTGTTTTATTTATGTGCAAATGAAGATGGGTTAGGGTAGCTCACTATTCTTTCATGTGCGCAGAAATAGGATCTGACATTTTACCACTTGATTTAAATGTCTTGTTTTCTGTACTGCAATGTTTATCAATGCAGAGTTTATATAACCCCTACTTTCTATTCCCGAAACATAAAAGTACAATTTTGTGATAAGTAGTAAAGGGTTGCTTTAATTTCACCTTGACTTCCACCTCTTTTTTTGCTTCCCAAATGGAGTTGGGCTTGTAATTCACCGTACCACTGCACCCAGAGACTCTGTTAATGTGCCCAGTAAACATCCTATTTAGCTCACTCCAGATGTCACCTCTCCCTACAACCTTGCCAGTCAAACAAGATTACTTTCTTCAAATTGATTTTATTTTTTCTAACTTAAAATCCCTGAGGACAGTGTCAGCATGTGTTTGGTTCACCCCTATTAGCTTCCTGATTGACTGCCTGGTGATTGTGGGGCGTCTTGCTAAACTTTTCCACTTTTCCCCTAGTTCTATTGCTCTCATCCATCTCTGCAGATCATGGCTCAGGTCACGCTGCCTTTCGCCTTTGGGCATCACTCATTATATCGTGAGCTTCCAGTGGTTTCAAAAGCTCGTTGCAGCGGCGGCAAATCTAGTTCAAATCAATGTCAGGACTTGTTATTCCTCGTCTTGCTTTATGCAGTTAGTGGCACGCACAGTTCTGGAGCCACCGTTTTCTTTTGCACTCTTACAGATTGCCATATCCAGGATTGAACTGCTTTGATTTATGTGCATGAAGGAAAATAAACCTATTGAGAGATTTGAGAAATAGACTGTTGCAAAGTTATCCAGCTGGAAAACACTTTTGGTGACGAGAATGATTTGTGATTTCTGACTTGAATATTCACGTTGAAATATCATTAGAAGTAGTAGTAAGTAGTAGTAAGTAGTAGTAATCTTTATTTATATACCGCCTTTTCACTGCACATCGGAGTCTCAAAGCGGTTTACAATTGTTATTTTTGGGAATGGGGGTGCCAGTACAGGAGGCACATGCCAGACCTATTGCACATATTTTTAGTGGTAGGGGAAACCGGAGCACCCGGAGGAAACCTACGCAGACACGGGGAGAACATGCAAACTCCACTCAGAAAGGCCCTGGTCCAACCGGGATTCGAACCCAGGACCTTCTTGCTGAGAGGCGAGAGTGCTATCCACTCAGCCACCGTGAGTTAAGTCCCGTGAAATGCATTTTTTACTTGAATACTGCACGTTCAGTTGTTCCCTTCATAATTTAGTTACGACATTGATGCAAAATTGGAAAATATCGAACAGTTATTTTGCAATCTTATCAGTCAATAGCCATCTGTATATAAAGTTTCCTAAATAAAAGCTCACATTATATTATTATTGCTATTATTATTATTATTATTGTTTTGATCAATGTATAATAAAACTTTATGGTATGGAATGGTTTTTATTTTTTTACAGGGACAGTGTACAATAAACATTAGCCAAAAGGAGAGATGCCTTGTACCAGGTTTTATTTGCTAGCATCATCTTTTGTGAAGTCATGTGATTAAAAATAACATTCTGACTGTTAAAACTATATTTCGGTCAGTTTTCACACTGTAATATTTATGAGCAACATTTCTTTGTAAACAGGAGAAGCTCACCTCTAGATTCAAGCCAGTAGTCAGAGTGAATGTTCTTGTGTTTTCTTGTGCAATTAAGATTTAGATAAGATCCTTTATTTGTCCCAAAGTGGAAAGATTTCAGAAACCTAAATGAAGCAACATGCATCTATGTTCTGACGTGACATTTACACAGTGTGAGATTCATACTTAAAGTGGGGCAATTGTATCTTTGAATTGCAATTTCTAAGATAAGTAAATCAATAACTTGGACTCTTTGGATTTACTAGTTCCTCCTCTCTCTGATCACAGCAAGTGAGAATTGCCATGACTTCCACCCAATGTTCTTCACCCACGACCGCTCCATCGAAGAGTTTTTCTGCATCTGCATCCAGCTGCTCAACAAGACCTGGAAGGAGATGAGAGCCACCAGCGAAGACTTCAACAAGGTTTGTCCTGTTTTTCACTCTAAACTACTGCCACATTTTACAACTGAGACTATGCACACAGGATATTCAATTCAATACTTTATTTCGGACACAAGAGATAAGAGAGAGCCAATGTAAGATACTATACGTTTGAATCTTCTGGGACTTATTTATCTTGTGCAGTTTACTATTAATATTGCTTTTTCAATATGACCAAGATCTGAAAATCACTTTTTGATGGGAGTCGAATATTGCTTACTCCTGGAGGAAGACGACAACATATCAGTAATGGAAATAGGGCTACTCATGATTTAATCTAATCAAAATGGCAACACTTTATTTGTTGATCTACAAAAAAAACTAAACTTTGTAAAAACAATCGTCTGCGTGCTCATCATTAGGTGTGTTAAACATCTTCTGAATTGCATCCATGTGTTTTGAATAGTTTTGCACTTATTAATCATCCTACTATGGAAACCTAATTTCCAAACCTATTTTATCAAAGAGATGCAATTAAATATTTAAAGGATTTTCTCTAATTAGAAGTACTATTATAGGCATTGTTTGATTGTAGACATCTGGTCCACTGTAGTTAATGGCCGACGCTTGACAAGAGTGTGTGCTGTGTGTGTTTAATGGAGGCCGGCCTGGTACTCCCAGTGCACCTCTTCGACCGCCAGGCAACCGTTTCCCTTGTTTCCATGGCAACCGCTGTCCAATTACCACCACCGCCGCCGCTCTCCTCTGTGCCTCTAAGATGGAGCCACTTCTGTAGCAGCATTGTGCTCGCGCGGTGGTGCCGCTTACAACGCGCTCTGTCTTTGGGCTTTCGCTTCTTTCCCCTCTTTTCAACATCTCTGGACAAGAACATCCATCTCTCCACTCGCACTCAGCTCGGAGGCACTCTGAATACAGCTTCCTCCTCCTTCTTTTCCCTCTCTCATCCTCCTGTCCCCCGGTCAAAAAAAAAACCCCTCTCCATCTCTCCCACACACACGCACACACACTCACACACACATACATACACCTGTCATGTGATCCGCTCGCCGCACCGCCATTGGTCTCTGTGATTGTGGCGAGCGTCCAATCAGGGCATAAGCTCAGAGATCAACATAAGCGAAGCCGAGCAGCCTGGCTGATGCTCTTAGAGTCACAACAGGGAGGGGGGCGCGAGGCAGCCAGGATTTGGAAGGGATGCAAAAATTAATAGTACACCCAAAAACAAAACAAGCTCAAAGAAGAAAAAGTGTTGGATAAGCTTTTGTATCATTTTTATTTTTTGCATTTTTTTATGTTTTGGCTCTCACTAAAGCAAAGTATCCAAAGCTGTTTCTACAACCTTTTGCGTGATACCGATCCTCCTCAGCATCCATCGCTGTGGAGAGTCTGGTACTACTACTGGAACCATGGAGGTGACATGTAAGTACATCCAAATCCTGCATAAATACTACCCCTATTGTAGTAACTGGGAGATGCTGCGATGGTTGGACAGATGCAAAGCCGGTGAAGCGAAAGCAGGTTAAAACAAGGATGCATTCATTAACACATACACACGGAGCATGCAGGCAGCCACGTTGACATAATCCGCCACGATTTCACCCCCTCTCCGCTAAGCTCCGAACGCTCACGGACACATTCAAGTACAGAGATCACCCCCCTGTGCTTCGGCGCTCCCAGGGCACGATCTGATGTACAGAGAGGTGGGGGTGGGGTCTTGTTGTGAATGGGATTACTCCACGTCTCCTCTCGATTGTCAACACAGGAATTTGGTGGATGTAGTTCCGTCTCCTCCATGCTGTCTGATGCTAGCGGTGTGAGCCTGGAGAGCATGAGCGCTTGTTTTGACTAGAGAGCCTCCCTTTGTTCCACTTACCTTCATACTAGCAAAAATTGGGTCATAAACTCCAAAGTGTTGGATATTTTCTGTATTTATTTTTTTGTCAATTCCAGCCTGGATGGAGGCAGTAAATGGCAAATGGTCTTTTCAAATGTGTATGCCAAAATGTCTACTACTAAGTTCCCCTGTCGGCAAGTTTTTTCAGAAATGTGTCATGTTTTTTCAGAAAGTCAAAAGGTGGAACGCTGAAACTTGAGAGATGGAGGACTACTATAATTAATCGTGGAAATAAATACAAGAAAAACGTGTACAAAAACCTCTTGTAAGAAGCCAGATCGCTGAATCAAAAGTGTTACAGCATAAAGTGTTAATGCTGTAATGCTATGCAAATTGTCAGCGTTTTTTTTAGTAACTTGATGTCTTTAATAGTGATTTCACTTTTCAGTTCCCTGATTAGCAATCTCCAACCTCCAGTCTATGATTTCTGACCATTAAATCGGCCCATGGTACATTATGGCTGCAGTTTTTTTATCATTCAGCAGCCTGCACCGAATAATCAGCTTTGTTCTCCCATGTTGGAGGCTGACCCGTCCCGTGTGGGATTATTCACTTCGATCCTCAGAAGCCCCCTGCGAAATCAGCCTCTGAGCCGCTCATCAACTCTGGATTTCACTGTCAATGTTTATAATAATGTGTGGCGAGGAAATGTAGTCCCGGCTGCTGAAAGTGGATCAATGGGTCGCGTTCATTTTGATATCACAACATGCAAAAGAGCCGATAGTTTGAACATGTTTCAGAAGTCTGATTTCTTGTCTTAGTTTGTAGCTAATTTCTCTAATTCCTTGGCCAACACACTCAAGAAACTGTTACAAAGCTCCATGTCTCGTCAATTGTTTTATGTCTGAATATTTTCTTATAAAGGTCTCTAGAAGTGGTAACAAAATCAAAAACATATGCATGATGTTGGCCAATAGAAAGGACATTCAGGCATAAGAATAATATTACAGGTTTTTGAGTCAAATTATGATCTGGGAATATATTTGGGCATTTTCTTTATCAACATTTCTTTTCATTATTTCTTCTTTCCCATTGAGTTGTATGAGCACCTATCCTCCGGGCTGACACAGTAAATATACACAACCTATTAAGTACATCTTGCAATTGACTGTATTCTTTCAATTGTAATGTACTGACTATTGTACCCGGGGGCAAACGCACTAGATTTGAGTGCCTCGGTTGAATCCAGTGAAGCTTGAATAATGTGAAGCAGGTGCCAAAAGTGTGGGGGTAATATTTGGCTCCGGACAGAGCGAGTGCCATGTGCCAACAACTGTGAATGTGTATCTTGTTCTGTACGTGAAATACGGCGTGAGAGCCGCCCCTCCCTGTTTTTTTCGTTCACTTAGCAATAATTTGATCTACCACCATCTGTCCACAACTAAAGAGTGAGAAAGTAAAATCATTTTATGGAGAGTGCCTTTGTCTAAGCAGCAATATCAGATTAAGTATCTACAGAGGGAGAAAATGCAGTAGTTTTATAGTGTGGAAATTGTGTTTTGACCTAAAATTCAAAAGACTTTGCTTTGAATTGGTCAAAATGGCACTGTTCCAAGCTGCTTATTCATGCATTGTTGATGAGAAAACCAGTGAGGGGGCTTCCACTTTGTTGCCATGGCCATATTTATGTTTTTATTACAATGAAGACCCTTATTAGAACCATTGAGGATCTCTACACATCATTTATTCATTTATTTTTTTGGATAAATCTTGTATTACACCAGACTACATATTAATAACATCACACAATATCAAAGGTTTTAGCTCCCAGGCCTCGGTTTGATGTATATTTTGCTGTTTACCTGCCGTCTCCTCTCATCCCCAGACCCCCCCACCCCCTCCCACTTCAGCTTCCTTTGAGTCTCACGACCCCCACCCCTCCTTCCTCTCTTCTCTCCCCCCCCATCCCTATTGTCGAATTCAGACGGGCTATTTATATCTTTATGCCTGGCTGCTTCAAACTCTCTCCCCCCCGTACAAGGCTTTTTCTTTCATTGTCGTTGTATAATGCACGCTGCAGCAAACAAGCAGCACTCCCTCCGAAGATGGTACTATTTTATCACTTTGTTTGTTTTACTCTGCAGCTGTAAATTATGCTAAATCTATTATCCTCCAGCCCTCTTCCTGTATTAGCTGTATATGGGAGGACAGCGTGATCTTGGCCCACTCACGTTAAGGATGCCACAGTTGAGCTCCCTAATCAGACAAGAGCGATTATAAGCCATTAGCGTCAAACCATCAGAGGGGCCTGAGCAGAGATGAGCCAACATTTCACTGGATCAAGATAATGAGGCTTCTGCGTTGGCTTTATGGTGTTACTCTGAGCATTATGCCTGTATTTATGTGTGTGCATTGCATTAGCTTGATGACAAAAGTGTGTGGTGTGTATGTAGTGACGCTGTTGGTTCTCATTTAGATCACACCGTGGCGTTCATGTGGCGGTGTAGCGTGAGGAGCCGTGCTGTGAAAACGGCTGCAGGAGCCTGTGACATTAGCATTTACCATCATCTGCATTTTCACTCATTGAGTTCAGCTGTACACGGCACAAAGCAGCCCAAGAGAAGGGGATGGGATCTAAAAATGGCATGTCTGACAAACGAATGATCGCTTTGTCACGAGTTGCTATTTTTAGATCTGGAATAATAATAATAATAATAATAATACATCGGTTTTATATAGCGCTTTTCTGGACACTCAAAGACGCTTCACATGTGTCATTATTCATTCACTCCATACACGGTGGTGATAAACTACTGCTGTAGCCACAGCTGCCCTGGGGCACACTGACAGAAGCGAGGCAACCAGTATGCGCCATCGGCCCCTCCGACCACCACCAACCATTCACACACACACCAGACTCATTCTAGGCAATGGGGGTGAAGTGTCTTGCCTAAGGACACAACGGCAGTTTGGCACTTTACAGCCGCAGCCGCCCCACTGTGCTTAACACAAAGTGACACAATAGTTTGTATGTGTGTGTGTATGAATCTGGCACAAACAAGAGATCAAGCAATGGGTTTTCTGTCTATTTTTATTTTTATTTTATTTTTTTCCACGTTTGACTGGCTGATGGTAGAGTTAAACGGCTGATTTTAAAGGCAGATGTATTCATTTTTAGTTATTGAAA